TTTCTCGACAACTCCTTAAGATAATTATATCATCGACCATTCGTAAGAAAGCTAAATATTTTTCCTTTCCAACAAGTCTACATACATCTAAGTGCTGTCGTGGAGTCACCTGCTATAAGCTGTAGAAATTGAAGAAAATAAACACATTCTCAACATTTTATACGTAACGGAGAAACGACAATTTTCTCGTGTTTTTTTCAGTCTTTTCAGTTTATCGATAATTTCTCACAACCCCTTAAGTAATTATCATCGATCACTCGTATGAAAGCTGAATGTCTCAGCTTTCCAACGAGCCTATTGGCATCTTGGTACTGTCATCGAGTCGCCTTCTCTTCTCATCATTACTCGTTATGCAAAATTTTATATCTCATTGTAAAGATAAAAAAATTTACTCTGAAAATGACTTTATTTTAAATGATTAATATTATAGACAAAATAAATCATTTTAGTCTGAGAATAATTATTTCAATAGAATATACTTTATAATTTGCAATATAAATGATTACTTCTAGTCGAGTCGAACAGAGTAGAGTAGAGAATAGGCGTAGAACAATTAATTTGGATTGTGTTACAAGAGCTCTGTGGTTCAGCCAGTCTTTCCATTGTGCACGAATACAGAATTACACGCTCTTTCGCAATTCGTTAATAATCATTGTAATAATGAACACAATCTTAAGCACAATCGAAAAACGGGAACGCGTGCTCCAGTTTACCGTGCCTTACAATTAATTTACAAACTTTTATTCAATATTCCCCCACACATCATTTATTCCAATGTTCATTTTGTCCAGTTCCAACCGCATTATTATATGCAGTTCCCATTCCAATTCGAGCGCGCGCAAACGATCACAAGAAGCATATTGTTAACACGTTTCAATTATTTTAATGATATTGTATTTATAGTCGTAAATAGCAGTGATGCATATGTTGGATACGAGAATTCTCTTGATTCTGTCTCCGTCCAATTGGATAACTTTGTTGCGCGCGACTGACTTCTTTTTCATTCTTTTTGCAGCTCTCCGATAAAGCCTTGGAACGTTTGCCCCCAGAGTCGGGGCTTACGCAATACGAATTTCATATTTCAGCAGATTGACTCATTATATTTAGATATTGAGCGATAGCAACGAACAAATAGAAGAAGAAAAAAAATAAAGAAAAAAATTGGGGTTATTGCTTGATTACGAAACGGACGAGTATCCAAACAGAGGCAACCCTCTTCATTGTTACCACTTTTATTTTACTGTTATTATTATCATTTCATTCTCGCTGTCTGTTTTTCAATTAAAAATGAAAACAAGCGGAATAAACTCGCCATTTAAATATTTAATGTATTCCTTTTAATGAATGCGCTTGTTCTTATGTAAATTGTATTATTGTTCTATGACTCACGTCGCGATATGGAATATGCGGCACAGGGAAAAAAATCGAAACTTATGCAGTGAAATCACAACAAGTTTATTATTATTCTGATGACTTTCTGTGAAAAAAACAAAGAAAGACACGAAACGATGCAAAACAAAGACAGATATATTTCCGCGTTCGTTTCGCTAAACGAGGACGCGAATCGATTAACATTTGTTTCTTTTTTTTGTTCTATCGATTACATCGGTGTCTTCCAAACAGTTTAAAATTTCTCAAATAGTTAGTAAATTGTAAATAATTTAGTGATTAAGATGATCTCATCTTAATTCTCTATACTTTTAGATTTAAATAACTTTACGTAGTTTTTGATAAACAATATCTAATCTGAGAATCTCTGCCTTAATGTAATTTAGTAAAGTAAATTCAACGTTAAAATTATTAACAAAGCAATAATGTTAAATCCTTTACACTTATTGTTAATCTCTATTACTTTTTTTTCAACTTTGGGAAACTTATCTGCAAACAATTCGTAGTTTATTTATGCAAATTTACTTTTCAACGTCAAAACTAAAGACAAATAAATAAATCCTTTTATATTTTAATCTCTAATTTGTAAACTATATACTGAAAACTCGTAGTTTTCGTTTGTTAGTTTCAATTCTCTACTGTTTTAGCTTTAATATGCATTTCAATTCTTCAATTTAATTCACGTAATTTTGGAAATATTCACAAAAAAAAAAGGAAAAATTCGAAGATTATAAATAACAATTTGAATACGTTAATTAAATGAATAGTTTTGTGCTGCAACATATCTGTAACCGTTCTCTTGTCTCTGGTCTCTTCTCACTTCTCACTTCTTTTTTGCTTTTCGTGTGATGATCTCATTTTAATTCTCATTTCTACCTAATTATTGTGAAACAATATCAAATCTGAGAATTTCTCCCTTAATGTAATTTAGTAAGTAAATTCAACGTTAAAATTATTAACAAAACAATAATGTTACACTTATTGTTAATCTCAATTACTTTTTTTCAACTTTGGTAAAATTCTCTGCAAACAATCCATAGTTTTCGTAGTTTATTTATTTTAGCTTCACTTTGCAAATTTACTTTTCAATGTGGAAAATTAAGAAAAATAAATAAATCCTTTCATATTTTAATTTCTAATTTGTAAACTATATACTGAAAACTAGTAGTTCGTTATCAGTTTCAATTCTCTACTGTTTTAGCTTTAATATGTATTTCTCAAAAAAGGAAAAATTTCAATACGTTAATTAAATAAACATATAATCGAGCACACTCCAAAGTTTAATCTCTATTATTTCAGCACAATTTATTTTAAATAACACTAATGAAAAAAAAAGGCAATTATAGAAAAATTATACTCTATAATTTCAGTTTTCATTTGCATATTAAAGAAATAATATGTAATTGTAATCATATTCGAGATTGACGATAAACGGTTTGAAACGATTAAAATATAACGAATTCAACTTTGACATTAAAATTCTACGTATTATAAGCAACGTATTTAGTTAATAAATTGATACTTGTTGCTTTTCAAGTGTCAATGAACGTTTTTAACGTGAAGGAAAAGCGCACGAGGAGGAAACATTTGCAATTTTCGAAGTCGTTCTCGGATTTTACGACCGCTAATATTGTCATATTTGATTTTCTCCAAGAAAGAAAAGAAAACGTCGAGCGAGAACGAAACAGAGAGAGAATATTTTCCTCGAGTGGATATTGTGAAAAGTCGCGTCGTAAAAATGCACTCCAACACTCGAAGGCGCCTCTGTTTATTATTTTCGTATGCAAATCAGAAAGCTATAAGTGAAAAATATTAAAGGCAGAGATGGAGCGAGGAATTGCGTATGCGGGAAAGGGAAGAAAACTAGAAAGATGTGGTGTGGCTTAGATACGAAATCGCTTTCCAGAAATGACCCACAGAATCCGTACGAAAAGTCCCTTTCGATATTGGTAATAAACGTCGAGATGCAGGAAACGCAAGGAAAACAGAAAAAAACAAACAAAGAAAATAGAAAACAGCATACAGAGTGTTTCAATAAAACGTGGCGCCTTTACGACCAATAAAATTTTCATTGCGTAAAATAAGT